CCTGACACTGAAGGATAGGCTGACATCCGACGCTGTTGTCCGCCTACCAGACTTGTCCAACGACTTCGTCTTGCGCACTGACGCGTGTGACACCGGCTTAGGAGCAGTACTCCTGCAAGAGCACGATGGGACGCTTTTTCCCGTCGCGTACGGCAGCCGGAAACTGTCTAAGGTCGAGAGGAACTACTCCGTATCGGAGAGGGAATGCCTTGGAATCGTGTTCGGAATATCACGGTTCGAGCGTTACTTATACGGGCGGAAGTTCGTATTGGAGACCGACCACCAACCCCTCGCCTACCTCGCGCAGGCGAAATTGTCAAATGGACGCTTGATGCGTTGGTCGCTGTTCTTTCAGCAGTATCAGATGCAAAACAGATATGTGAAAGGAACGGAAAACGTAGGCGCTGATTTCATGAGCCGAAGAGCTGATATGGCGTAGATTATACAGTAGATAATCGTATGTTGTGCATGTATTCGTGTTTGTAGTCAGTTTGTAGTTTTATTAGTATTATTTTTCCTTATATTGTTACGCGTAGTAATGCCTATTTGCAATCGGTGCAAGTATGATGGAGTAAAATCCCGATTTTATTCTCAATCGTGTTGGAGTGTCACGGTCAACTTAGGTGGACGGATGTTTATTCAACTGACACTAATCCGGTGTTTGATCTGTGGACAAACGCCGCGAGCAAAAAGCTAGCCAGACGTAGTCGCCAAAAAGGTCTTTGTGCAGAATAGGGCTTGGTAAATTACACCTGGGTACTAATCCTTTAATAGGCCATCAAAAGAGGCATTTGTAATAAAATGGTAGGCAACTTATATTGACAGTTCCGCTGATTTACAACTTAGTCCACCGCATCCAATTAGAATTAAGCTAGTGGGTGGGCATACCTCAAAGTTTCGAGGATATTAAACTGACTCCATCCCAAAATTATTTAGTAGACCGAGGCAGATTACTAGGTGATTGCATGATTAAAGGCTACTCAGAGATACGCATTCGTAAATTTGGCGTGAATCGCAGGGAAAAGATTGGAACAAAGAAAGCTTCAGAAGGAAGCTTTCCGGGTGGGATAACTTCAGTTAGAAGGAGAGTCCCGAGAGTCTGAGAAAGAAGACTGAAGTAAGACTGTCGGTACAGTCAGGGTCGACGGATTGGAGTCGATGGTTCGACAAGGAAGTCGACGGAAAGGGAAGTGGAGGTGGAGAGGAAATTCGAGGAGCAAAGAAGGAGTAGAAGTGGAGAGGAAAGTTGAAGGAGTAAAGGAGGAGTACAGGAGAAATTTAGAGAGACAGATGAGTACAACCAAGGACAGGGCGAAATTCTCACACTGATTCAGATGATGAAATAGGCACCAAAGGGTCAAGCGATTGGGAAGCTCGCATGTTGAAGTTTTATTATTAATTAAATTGTTTTATTTAATTCCACCCCTTTGTACTTTTGTATTTAATTGTTTAATTTCACTCTTTAGTACTTTTGTATTTAACTGTCGGCATTGCTGACTGGGGGCTCAGAACCATATTCACCTACTTAACTTCTGAACCATAATTGAGCCTGGGTGGGTGTCATACCTAAATAAATATTGGAAACACCCCACCCCATTTTCTTATAACCAAAACCATAAACGGGTATAAAATAATTATTTAAACCCCATAACACTCTAGGGTATAACTAAAAAAACCCTCTCGTAACAGTATAGTATCCAGTAGCTATCACAAAGATGAGTCAGTATGCAGATAACGATTTCAAATTAAAGTCGTCATCACAATGAAACGTTGATGCCTTTTCTAAAGCTTAAAGTGTATTTGGCACTAACATTCCGTAAAACCACATACATACATTCTGCGATAGGGCATAAAATACATCAAACAAAACTACGATTCTAAAGCCTATTCGTAAAAAAAATTTAATTGTTTCTTCTGCAGATTGTTATAGACAGTAAACAGGCAAACAGCTGATTTCTGATTTTATATCTCTGGTACTTTACTTACTCCGTCACCTACCCCCCACGTCGCGATTTACCGTGCCTTCCTCACTTACGCTGAAACAAACATGTACCATGCATGTCTTTTAGCTGGGTTTCGTGTGGACATGTACTTTTGATATCATTATTTATCTCTTGATTTTTGTTACTTTCATTGCTAAAAAATAAAAATAAAAAAGTCAATAACGCCAACCATAACATCGCTACGAGGTTAGTTCGCACTGTTACTTCGCCGTTAACATTCGTGATTATGAAATGTTCGTTTATGTACTAGTGCGTGTCATTTTTGTCAGATTACCCTCTCTGCTGCTGTAATTAAATCAGTTATATCAATAATGATTGGCGAAGCTCATTCAGCAAGGTTAGGTCGGCAGCGAGTAGAAGCAATTAAGAAACATATACCTGTCCGTGATTCTGTCAAACAACAATTACAAATGCGTCAACAAACACAAGAAGAATTTACAGAATCCGCAGAACAATTGTTTAAACCTATCACGAAGACTATTGAATGTATTATTCCTGCGTTAAAAGAAACAGGTAAACAATCTAAAAAATAGCTGAGCGAACTAAAAAAAAAAACGAAAAAAAAATTCTACCAGAACTTGCTGCTGAAATAGCTGCGGTTCAGCCAACTCAAGAAACAGATTAAAAGGAAGATGATGATACTAAAAAAGAATTAGAAGGAGCTTAAGCTAAAATTAAATTACATGATAAATTTCATGATGTTTCCATGAGAGCATTGCAAAGTTAGCGTAGATAAATGAGCTAAAACCGCTTTTTATCTTATGATGAACGAAGATTTTTAAGCTCGAGTATGCTGATGAGATTATATGTCGCGAGCAATAGTACAAATGGAGTTTTCGTTTACGCTTTAATGTTGACCAAGCCAGAAGTAAAGACACGAGATATGCTACTTACAATACAATAAAGTTATAAAAATATTACATTGGCTTTCCATGAAATACAAAAAGAATCGCAACAAGAACCAGAAAAATCAATAAATGAATATTTTAAACCCGGGAGTATTAACACAATCCAAAATGCATCCTATACAGTATATATTGCATCAAGATATGAATCACGACATACATATTTAAAATTTAAGTACGTTGAATTTTTTAAACTCGATGACTGGATTGCTGCTATATATTTCGTTTCTATAAATATCGATGAAATAGATGATCGTGGTGATTATAATGAGTTTAGAGAAAATGTAATGAAACGAATAAAATCTTCGCAGGAGAAAAAAGACCTAGCGAACCAGCTCAATATAGCGAACCAGCTAAACATCAAGGTATTCTTGGTTCTCTTTTTTTCTTTTGATGAAACAAATTGGAAGGGGTCTCGTTACTCGACCCGGTAAGTTCGTAGCTGACGTAAATAGAACTTCTGGTTGGTGGGAAACGAGCCGGTAATAATTTTCCAGAAATCATCAACGAAGTCTCATCTATTTGTCAACGATTATTTACCAGCGACGATAATCACAGTGGTCTAAAGCGCTGTCCGTGACGGATCATCTCACCTGTCCTCGTGGGTTCCAGTCTAGGATTCAGCGAATGTGGATATGTGTGAAAGCTTCCCAGTAGCTTCTCGTGGGTCGGTGGTTCTTTCCGGTGATTTCCCGGTTTCTTCCTCCACCACTAATACTGGCCGCCATGTATAGCCTACCGTGTGTTGAAAAATGGCGCTAAGCCTCACAACAACAACAACAATATAGCAACTAAAAGGTCTAACCACTAAGTCACTGATTAAACAGTTAGATATTATTATTATTATAATAGATGATAACATACGTTGCTCAGCATTGACCAACCATGGTCAGGGTGGTAAATTCAAGATTACCTGTATACAAGAAATTCTACTCAGATGGACTCGGTGATGTTGTTAGGGGTTTGTTTGGAATAATCACCCCGAAAGCAGTACCTATTGCAAAGCAATTAGGCATGAAAGCTATTGACGTTGTTCGTGAAAAAAGATATTAGTACTGTTGGTAGTGTTGCTGGTAAAGCATTTTCTCCAATCAAGGTTAGACTAGCACGATAAATATGCAGGTCACATGTGGTTCAACCGCAGCCGGTGAAACTGGCCAGCACTGAAGTGATGCCTGCAAGTGTTAATAAAATAATAAATAAACTAGCAGCGATGACTTCGTCATTGTCTGATGAAAAGTAAAAAAATATAGTAGCAAGTCTGATGGCAGGAAATGGTCTCCGTATTAAACGATGACCCATAACATAACATCTTCAAACTTGTATCTGATTCCGCATTTGACATGGACGCACCGGTTCTCAAGGATGAGTGTGCGTGATCATCAATATTATTCTGATGACGCTCGAATTCCAGAGCAGCGTGGACGAATTGAATTACAAGTTCAAGATACGAGTAGATATTTCTTACTGAAGCATTTATTGAAGTTGAAGGTAAACAGTTTAAAGCGGATAATACTGAATACGATAACATTGTTGGTTTTGGTTTTGTCAATAATAGTATCATGATATTGTTTGGCAGTACCTCGTACATGATTGACAAAAAAAAAAAAAATTTGAATCAATTCAAAAAGATGTTGACGTTGCAACGACAATACTTGGTTTTGCGAGATAAAGAGATGGTTATTCAAGATCAGTTGGTACTTCAATGATGTTTACCAAGGATACTTCTGATAGTCCAAGGCATACAAATGTAACTATAGGTAATGTGAGAAACGCCGCAGGAACCGCATACACTCAAGCAAGATTATCAATGAATGCAAACTTCAACTTAGGATTTGCATCACGTATAGCAATGCTCAAGGACAGTATGTTTTCATGTGCAATTACACTTTCACATATATTTGGATCCTGCTGAAATGTTAGAAAAGTTATTGTGATTTGGATTTTTAACCTAGTTTTAAAAATGTTTCATTCAAAACTGCTATGATGTCTCCAGTCACATTATTCTGACACCAAACCAACTGGTCCTAACACAGACCTGAGAGCCTAGTGAGGTAGCAGTTAGTACTGTTTTTATGTCTTTGGTATGACTTGGCTTGGGTTTGTTTTGAACACACGATCTCCCACATCTGAGGTGAACGCTCTAACCACTAGGCTACCAGAGCGGTCCTGTTTTAATGGAAAAGATAAGGCATCTTATCTATTCTCTTAGGTTTCTCTAAAAACACTTTACCGTCTTGACTCTAGAAGAATTTTTCCTTGCAATTAGAAATCAGGTAGTTTTGTAGTTTTATATATCCAGTAGTAAATTCATCTCCTTCTGACTGAAAGGTCATTATCTATGACGAGGAACAAAATGATACAAAGGGTACTGAATTACCTTACAACAAATAGTACAGAAGGACTCTGCCTACAAAATGATGGGGAAGTGAAAAAAATGAAGGATATAATTTATTTAAATTTATTTTAAAAACAAGATTTTGACAAAAATCATGTGATAACTTGGGAAAATAATATATATATATATATATATATATATATATATATATATATATATATATATATATATACATATACATATATATATATATATATATATATATATATATATATATATATATATATATATATATATATATATAATTTTTCATTTTTGATATAAAACATTTTTTAAACAAATGTTTCGACACTAATGCATGCTATTCCTAATGCTGGGAAAAATTTACGGAGAAATCACTGGAAGGATGTAAAAATCATAATCATGTTAGGACATAAACTGAGGAAAAACTATAGATGCAAATAAAACAAAGAGAAATGCTGCAGTTTTTATTTATTACATACAATATTTTACTATATTCAGTTCCTTACCATAGTCAACAAAAAATATGACAGATTTAACAAATTATTTAAATTAAGTGTTTAAATATATCATGATTATGTATAAAGTATAATTTTCTTCATTGAACCAAAAGTAGTATAACTCTTTTATAAATACTCCATTTGTCTTTTTCAGCTAACTATACAAACCATCAAACCTGGATCAGACTATTTCCAAACAATGCATTAGTAATATTAATCATTATCACATAGAAATCCAACATGCCATGAACATAAAAAGAAATACAATAAAGTAGAGTTGCTAAAGAACAGACACTCTACTAGCTGAAAAGAATTTGCATGACTTCAAGATAAAACATTTAATCCTTTTTAACTGTGCAGGTTTTGAAACTATCTTTGATATTTTTCAGCAATAACTAGATTTCTAAATATACTACTGCGGTGGCTGTATGAATGTCAAATTGACACATTTTAGTTTGGAATCAAACAAATATCATTAGATGTCTTTGGTTAAAATCCCATGTCAATATGACCATCCATTCACAAGAAGTGGCAGCAATATGATTTTCATAGAAGCTTTCATGGCAGACATATTGAATGCAAAACTAGCATTATTTTCATCTGAGACAAGCAAGGTACCATACAAAGTCTTGGTGAAAATCCCATGTTGATATAGTTGTTCTTTTCAGAAGGAAACCTACCATGCTGATATGGTCATCTACTCAGAAGGAAAACCCCATTTTGAAATTGCTTTCAAGATGGCTGCCATTGTGGTTATACTGAATGTCAACCTGGCACCATTTTCATATAGGACTGAACAGACATAAAAACCATATGTTGATATGGCTTTCTTTACAGGAGGAGAGCAAGATTTTCAAGATCACCACAGTGATGGCAATAAAGGACCTTAGATCAGCAACAGTTTCATTTACAACTGATTAGACATCATAAGAAGACTTTAGTGGAAATCTCCATGCTTATCTAGAAAGTGGTGGTAACAAGAATTTGAAGATGGTTGTTGCAGTAGCCATATTAGATGTCTGAGTGGTACCATTTTCATTTAGGACCAACTAGACATTATAAGAAGTCTTTTAGTGAAAATTCCATGTAGATATGACCTTCCATCCAGATGGAATAGTGACAGCAAAATTTTCAGAATCGCTGATATGGTGGCTAGACTGAATATCGGAGTAGTGTCATGTTTTAATTTTGACTTTGGGATAAATATGTCTGTAAAGTTTCATGGCAATTCTCCAAGTATTTTATCTGGGGTAGTGATAGCAAACTTGTGCTAATGCAATGATGGATAAACCAATGGACTATGATCAAAGACTATCCCATAAGCTCCTCTGGGCAATGACCAGTAGAGATAAAGAATTTAAGGCATAGTTTCATTACACAAAACTTTCATGCAGACTTGGATTATACGAATATAAAATACATGATAGAATAATACAAAATTTAAGTCGTGTTATAACAAAAAAATACAAGAATAAATGTCTGACTTGCATGAGATTATAATGCTAAACTAGAACTGAGAGTGATTAGTGAATTGGAATGGCATGCTCACTATAATTTGCTTGGTGGGGTATTAGGCATAATAACTAAATTCGAAAAAAGTTTGCAGATGGACAATCAAGGGCCATGCCATAACACTTCTATATGATGATGCAGAATTCTGGAAATCAAATTATTCTTAAATTTCATTAATATAAAGTGTATACCAACTTTCCCTGAAATACAACATATCTTAGGAAAGTTATGCTGCAGTAAGCAAAGTTAGAAAAATGCATAATTAAGGGTTGTAATAAAACCAAAGTCAGAAATATAACAGTAAGGGGCCATAACTCCTTTTAATAATCTCTTTGAATACCGAATACCGGTAAATTCACTCTTGGTCTCACACTGATCTTAAACCATGTGCAAACCCTGGGTGAAATTCATGAAATTTTGGTTAACTTGTATTGTAGAAACAAAAGTTTGGATGATGAGTAATCTGGTGGCTGTAATTTTTCTAAATGGCCTATCCCCAAATAAGACACGTGTAAGTTTATGTTCAAACCAAATTACATCAAAATATGTTGATAGGTTCTTGAACTGATTACAAGCAACATTCCATATGAAGATAGAAGGTCAGTTGTCATGGGCCATAACTCTATCTACGCTACAGCTGATGAAAAAAATAAAGGCTAATCCTGGATTATAAAGCATATCTACATACCCACTTGCATCATATACTGAATGGTTCCAGAGGTCTGCTGGTTACAATGAATGGCTTTTGTAGGGAATGAATAGTCATGGAAAAACGGTAATTCCTCACTCAAAGTTGGACTCAAAAGGATGAAACCTTTAAATGACACATAACTGACCTAAAGAATGGCACTCATCTATGTGCATGTTTTGCAAAACTGTGCTGGTCATAACCAGCAATGTTTACAAAGATATGAAATTGTCAAGGGCCATAATTCTGCTGAAACTGGAGCTAATGGGACAGGACAAAACCAATAAAAGACACATCTAAATTTGTAAGGCAATGCACACAGTAGAGTGCATCAGAATATATTGAATGGTAGTTGTAAGTTATAAGGATCTGCTTAGTGGATATGCAAAAATGGAAAAAGGGAAAATACTCTGCCAAATTGAATTATAAAAGATAAAACCTTTAAAAGAGCCATCAACATGTAGTTAGCAATTCATTTACTAAACAACACTTAGTTTTGTGCAAGGACTGCCAAGCCATGCTTGTTACAAGAAGTGTGAATGGATAGACAGATGGAATAGGTGATTACTAAAGAATCTCAGTACAGTACCCAAATAAATACAAGTAACAAACAGTTACATATGTATTTACCGCTATATAAATTTAAAAAAAATAAACTAAGGTACATCTATCAATATAATTCATTTAAAAAAATCATTAACATCACAGACATTTCATAGACCTTGACTATCCTCTAATAGCATCTGCCAGATGATTCCCAAGTTCTGATATGTCATATCTATTGCACATGTATTTTAAGTCTGATGTATCAAGTTTGAAGAATAAGGGAATTGTGTACTTTCAATGAAATAAACTTTTCAATATTGCTAGATTGTGTAATTATATTATGTTACATCTAGATTGGTTCTTTGTGTCAGAAGAATTGGGCCCAGAGTCACACCTTTGAAAAAAAAAATGTACCATGTGCCCAGTCTTCAAACTCACACCATCTACAGGATTATTTATGTGGATGATTTCCACTTCAAATTAAACTAAAGTCAAATATCAAGACATTGAAATATGTATTTCAAACTTTAATTAAGACTAAATTAAGCCTCTGATATTATGTTAACTTTAAAACAAAAACAAAACTGTAAATTTATGTAGTCATACCTATCCAAATTGTCATCTTTACTTGGTGATCACATATTTACAACAGACATTTAAATTCCCCATCTGAAAACTTCTTTTCCTGTATGTGGCACACTTTTTCCTAACTAAAAAATGATTTCTCCTGGCATCTATTTGCAGCATTTCATCATTGTTTAGATAAAGGAATAGCATGTGAATAATGGGTAAAATTATTTTATCTTGCTTGTACTCACCATACTTCAGTAATAATCACAGTTTAATTCAGAGGTGTCACTATGTGAAATTTGAAATCAGCTTTTATCATTAAGGTGAAGGGTCAAAGCAATTAGTTTCATGGATGGGGGGGTAGTTGTGTTATTACAGCAGAAATTAAGTTACCTTTCATTCCATGTTGACAGGTATAATTAGGTATCTTCATTAATTTTCCTGCAAATTAAATTTATCACTAAAGAAAAAAGTTTTTCTTGAAGAGATCTGAGATACATCCCTTTTCATTAGGGTCAGGTTTTGTCAATATTAAAACATATTCAAAACTTGTCTTTAAAAGCGGATACAATTTCAGTTCAAGGGTCACAAAAAATACTCCTATGCTGCTTCTTTTGATTTCCTGTTTGTCACAGGCTTGTCACATAAGCTTGCTCTTATTTCATCTTGCTGACTCAGCTACTGACTAATCCTGATACTGTTTTAAGTCTTGAACAAATTAAGATGACTGGATAGTTTAAGCCTGTGATGATTCCACTCAAAGGATCAATTATAGTGAACAGGATGTAACAATCTTATGCATCACATAAATTTGGGAGAGAAAAACATGTATGTGTAGATTATGAATCTTTAGTACAGTGCACAAAAACAATCCTGATAACATAATACTTAATAATAATACTTAATAATAATAATAATAATAATAATAATAATAATAATAATAATAATAAAAACCACTAATAATATAGAATAAAGTAACAAGAGCAATAA